GAAAATCTTGGTAATCCCATGATGTGACTTTTTTTTTACGTGGAGGTACGTCGGTGTTGGATTCAAGGATTAACTTTTGATCCGGAATATTGTCCTTGGAAACATTAATCGAGCTAGAATTCGGATTGTTGAATGTTCAGGCATGAGTTATTTAAATTTTTGTGAAACTTGAATCTAAAAAAGCCGTGGGACACCGTCTATGAGCATCGCGTGCTGTGATTTTCCTCTCGCAGACCTTTCTTTTTTTCTTAAGGGTCAATTTCTGGTTTCTGGTGGCAAAAAGAGAGGCACAAAAGGATGGTGAAGAAGAAAAAGGTACTCTCGACACCATTTCCATTGCCATCGAATGCTGAGAGTGTCATGGCCAAGACTTTCCCGATTGTAAGGCAGGGCTTCTGATGAAACCCTTGTGGGCTTTCGCGGTCAAAGGGAGTGAAGAGCACGGCCAGGAAGAGCGGAAATTGTACCCGGGTTCCTGTGCCAAGTTCCGTGTGACTCTTCCCCCCCCCCCCCTAAAAAAGAAACCATAAATGTTGACATGCCCTTTATGCTGATGATGCGCCTGCAGCTTTTTGATGAAGTGGAAACATTTTTGGTAGAGGTCTCGGCGGCTTATGGGAGCCCGAAATTCGAATACAGAGGCTTGAAAGATTCTTTTAAACCGAGGTTTGATTTTTTTTCTTAAATTTTGTAGTGAGCTTTTTCTCGCGTGAGACTTGGAAAAAAAGTTTGGAAACTGAATGTTGCTACCAGTCATTTTTTTTTTACGATTACTGTATTTATTCTTTTGTCATTCTGGATTTTTGCTCTACGGTGCCGAATAATCTGCGAAGATCAATTTTTCTATAGTGCGAATCTGATCCCGACGCTCGGTCTATTTTGCAATTCTGTTGAAATTTTCATGCAGAAATTGCATGTTCTGCCTAACGTGTGGAGACTGAAAGCGATTCCATTTCCGTTAAAGTTCAGAAGTGTTTGTTGCGTTATGTTTTTTTTTTTGTCCAGTGAACTTACACGAACTGTATTTCAAGAATATTCATGCAGGATATTAAGATGAGAAAGTTATGCTGTTGGAAAATAGTTTTCAAATACACTAGTGCAATATTTCCTGGAAAACCTGTTGAATTAAGCAGAAGCTGCAAGAATTTCGTAGAAATAGGACTGATGAGCTTTTTAGTCCAAGATCCCGTTTCCTGTGCCCATCGGTTATCATTACGCGTTTTGCAAGAACGAACTATTAATGAATAATTTAGAATTATGTAAAACCTTCGGTTCTCGCATGACACTTGTCATTTGGGAACTTTGATTACTGTAGGTGTGTGAAGCAGTTTCAACTAATGAGCATAAAGAAGAAAGGACTCGGGAAGATTTATTTCAGAAACGTGAGATTAAATTTTTAAAATTATTACTGGTACAGTATTTCAAAAATGTCACCTTTCGAATCGTGAGGCGACGCTGGAATTTTGTTCAGCTGATGCAAACTTAAACTTGCGACGAAGTCTGATTGTTGAGCCTGAAGAAAGAAAAGCTGTTCTTCTGAGGCGAAGATCAGAAATGTTTATAATTTTGAAGAAAAAAATCATTTTGGTAAAAATCGACAGGATTCTGTTTTTTTCTCTTTATTAATTTTTTTTCGCCATTCTCGGGAATACCCACCGATCTGCGTTGCGCTGTCATGTGTTTTTCCTGCGCAGTATTCCGGGTATAATCTTTTAATTAGGCTTTTTATGATGCAGTACTGCTGGCATTTTGACTGGTGAATATTATTTTAAAATGTATATGAAATCGTTTCTCTGAAAAAAAATTGAGCGTAATTTTTCTTCTCGTTCTGATTCCCAAATCAAAGCTTCTGAGGCCGGAGCTTTTCGCATAGATATTTTGATTGTGTATATATATGCTTTATTTAAAGCAGTTTCTAATTAGTACTGCGTGAACCATATTCTTAATTGCTCTGAAGATCGTAATCTTAGCATGAAGCAATTCAGAAAAAAATGTTTTACGGAAGCTTTTGTGATCTTTGTCCCAAATATTAAAAAAAAAATCATCGCGTGACGATGGTTGGGCGGATTCTTCTGTCAAGGTCCTTCAACTATAGCTGCTGAACGGCGTGTCAGATCGAAATCATTTACCTGATGAAATGAATACTTGTTTCCTGAAACTAATGGTTTGAGGGTTGATTTGGAGCATGCTTTGAGAGTGTGCATATCGAAACAAAACCTGGTTCAGTCCAGTTTTTTGTTGGAAAAGGATACTATCTATATTGTACGGCACATGAGCTTCGCGTATCGGTGATGAACTGATGACAAAGCTTCATGTTTCACCTTTTTTTTTTTTTTTAGCTCAGTGCGATTTTGCCCCAAATTTAAATTTAGAAAACACCATAACAAAAGCATTGACGGCAAGTTTTTAAGCCGATGTATTCTTAGATTTTTTTTTATGCGGCGATCGGAGAGGCTTTTTTTGGGGGGGGGGGGGTTTGAAAAGTATGTTTTGAAGAGCCGATGATGAGGAGTGAAGACGGCAGAATCCAGCTGAGGGAGGAAATAGATCTGGATGCGTATTTAAAAGAGCCGTGATTCGTAAGATTTTTCGAATCGAATTTCCACGTTTAATCTGGCGCATCTTCTCCTATACATACAAAATGAAGAAATGTCATTTCAAGGTGACAAACGCCCTGTATTCTTATTCTTCGAGATATTCAATATTTTTAGCTTCCTCTTTTTAAAATGTGTAGTTTTTTTTCTGAACCGTCTTGAGTGATGGCAATCGAAGCTAGCGATTCAAATCTGAAGAGCATTGTTGCTGATTTTATTTTCGAGATTTAATAATTTATCTCTAGCCCAAAATTCCGTCAGCCCCTTTTGTTATATTTCGGCTAAAACTCGCTCTTTTTTATAATTAGCTTTCAATCATCGTAATTTATCATGGAATCGAATTTTAAAATAAATTATGATGCCGGATGTCAAATTGAAATGGCCTTTTCCGGAATTATTTCTACGAGTCCTCGTGCAGTGAAAGAGGACTTGAATTACATTTTCAGCCTTCCAAAAACAACCGAACGGATACAAGCAGATTCATTGCCGAAAACATCACTAATTACGAAAAAAAAACTCACAATTTATGTGCAATATAGAGTTCGTATGATCCATTATGATTTTTCATACTATCGCACTCATATATAGACCCATGAAAGCTGATCTTGAAAGTCTATATAGACCTTGAAAGTCTATATAGACCTTGAAAGTCTATATAGAGGAAGTGTAATTTTCTCGTCAGCTAAATTTCACCTCTTTATTGGCTCTGGCTCACGGTTTTTTCAGGAAATTGAGTTTCACAGAAAATAATCTATGCTACTACTTGAGAATCTCGTAAACCTGCCAAGATGAATTCGCATGATACAGTAGCTTGTCTGCTTTGACGTGAGTTTTACCAAGAAACGAGCGACTAACAAGTTTTAGAGGAAATCGTCCTTTTTCCCAGAATCGATCAGAATAAGGATATTGAAATTCTTCATGTCACCACGCCTTAATTAAGACCGCGCTGACCAAAATTATTCCATCGCTCGTGATATTTCGAATAATTTTCGACACATGGATTCAATCAATGCAAAATAATGCTCATTTGTCGTCTGATCTTTTCATATTTTCTCATTGATCCCGATGAGCCTCGGTGATTCTTTTCTTCCTCCATGCCGGCAATTTATGATGTTCCTGATGGTAATCAGCGCTGGGGAACTGAATCCACTGCGTAAAGCATCCGGTGGCTGTTGTGTCCTTTACCTACATAATTTTTTTTTTTCGTGGCGAAAAAAATAAAACGGGAAAATCCGGATGATGAGCGTGATGGTTGGCTGGGTTTTGTCATGCCGAGATTTTGTGCATCATTCCGTATTGATAAGCCCGAAGCACGTAAATAACGCGACCTCGACGCGCAAAAATCGTTACATTTCGCTGCTCGTCGTTGCAGGGTTGAGGCGATTTGTTTTCGAAAAGTTTTGTTCATAAGCTATAGATTCGAACTTCTGAATTTTTCTTCTGGCGATGAACAGAACGTGAAAAAAGGAATGTACTGTACATGTTTTTTTAAATTGGCCCCTGTTGAAGTTTTCAGTTATCCAAATATTCTCTCCAAAGGCCCTGATGGCAAAGATCTGTGATTCTGAATAATCGACTGTCGATTTCAATTTTTCATCATTGTTAAAATCCAGGTCCAGCCTTTCGAGTGCGAAGGAGTGAAAATGCATGTATTTTAATGCTTAATCCACGTGTCTTACAATTCGAGATTTATCTCTGCGAATACCGTATTTTAGGACAGCAAAGAAAGGACAGTTTTGCTGTTTTAATATTTCAAGGCAGCGAAGAGATATTTTTTTCGCAGTGATTCGGAATAAGCAATAAAATAGCCATTCATGCTGAATGCTGACATGATAACCGAAAAGGATTGATGGATATCCCGTAAATAAGTTGAAATCTTCAGAAAGCACAGCGAAGAAAATTTACGTTGAAACGCCGAATTTGTTTAACGAAACACTTGCATCCGGATGTCATCAATTTTAATGCTGTGTATTGAATTCTCGGTGCTTGAAATTTGACTATTTTTTTCTCAAACTTTAACGAGGGATGATCTATAAGTTTTGATACTCGTACACTTGATTTCAGTGGTGATTGTCAAAATTTATTGACGTTCCATAATATTTTTCCCCTTGTCAGGTTGATGCAAATATCTTGAAATTTGTCATCGAAGTCCAAATTATTGGACATCGTGCGAAAAAAAGGTCTTGCATTTCTCGTTCGTAAAAAAATGTTCCCAAATGAGGCATGTACTGAAGCATTCCTAAAAAAAAAAAAAAGAAGTTCATGTTTCTGAAAGTTTTTTTTTAATGATGAAAATATTTGCCGATATTCATTGTGGCGAGTCTCAAAATTAATGGCACGTCACTCCAAGCTCTCGGGTTCTCCTTGAAAAGCCCTTTTGATTTGGTGAGAGCAGCATGTATTTTCTTATTTTTTATGGATTTCCAGAAAAGGTGTCTCCTGGTGGGACCGTGAGAATAATAAAAGAAGACTGACCCTGAGAAAAAGGATAGAATAAAATAGTCAAGAGGACGTACGCGTACGGAGAAATGAGTCTGAGATTGTGTCAGTTTTTGGCAGTGGGATTGGCCTTGCTGCTGGTGGTTGACTTCCGGTCTTCTTCTGCCGCACCAGCGGACGGTAAGACGGTTTCCGCCCTTCCGGCCCCGGATGAAGACGAATGTTTTCCACGGGCTGGACGACTTTCGGAAGAATGTCTTACTCGATTTCTTCCCGGCTCTTCTTTTTTTTTTCTTCCTTCCTTATTTTATAACGGGCATCTTCGCACCCGAAAACTTGGGTATTTCGTCCTGAGTGACTTTTCAGCTATCAATCTTCCGCATTTTATTTATTTAGTTATATTTAAACGTATTGGGTGGATTTTTTTGTGGTGCGCAAAAACAAATATATATGAAAGGAATACTGTACATGAAATGGGAACATGTACCTTTAAGAAAAATGTTCCCACTGCGAATGAATGGACGGTTTGTTCGTGCGGGAACTTGAGATGGACGATGTTGTGTAGATTAAATTGTTCTGAAGCATCAATTTGTTTTTTCTCAAGGTAATTTTACAGTATTTTGTCTTGGTTTTTTATTGTCAAGTTCTTCGCCATTTTGTCTCTTTTGTACATCTCATTATGTTCCATTAACGTTTATTACCTTCGTCGTGTTTGCCGAACCAAACTTTTCGCAGATGATGTTATACGATACCAAGGAGAGATAAAATGGTGTCTCAGCAGGTTTTCAATTTTTGTCGTTTTGTCATAAAAGAATGAATTCCGAATCCGCTTTTTATTTATTTTTATCTTGGTCCTTCCATTTAAAATATAAATTTCTAATCGTTCCAGTTGTTTCGATCAATTTTTGGCATGTGCGTTAAGAAGATTTACGCTTTTTCAGTCTGTATATAAGAGTCGATTACTTGGCTACAATTCGTCTTGAAAAATTTGATTTTCGAATGACTGTAACCTTTTATTTTGATGGATTCTTTATGTCTTGGTTATTTACAATATGTACGGATGATTTCAGAAATTTCTTGGTTTGGTCGTGTTTCCGAAACGTAAATTGATTTATTTCTAGGAATGCGTAATTTTTCTTTAATTTAAAAAGTAAAATTTAGGTAAGTAGCCTCACGAACAGAACATGAATTCATTTATTTTTTTAAGTTTACGTTGCGTCGAATTATCAAGTTTTGGAATTTGCCAGTCATTTCGTTTTCACGTTTCCTGAAGCACGACAACGAACGTTACGATTTTATTATGTATATTCTCCTATACTTCTGAATTACTTGATACCAATTGATTGCCGTGTATTTTGAGGATTATAATTTACGAGCAAAATAAATCCCGCAGGGCTCGTGATGATGTGGGACCCACATATGATGATGGGGCCAGAGTTGGTCACTCGGGCTCTCATGAGGACCGTGCGACACGGGCCTAGCATCAAGAGTGAGTTCATTTCCGTACAAGTCCAAACGAAAAAGAAGGAAATGACGTTTTTCCCTTTTTTATTTCTTTATTCCCCTTTTCGATCGGAATTAATCGTACAATACTTTTCCGTAGCGACCCGACTAATGATTTTCCTTTGTCACCGCGGGTTCGCATCCGGTCGACCTCAGTTTTCGGGGCTTTCTTTCTTCCCCTTTTTTGCGCGGGAAACTGTGTTTCCGCTGACGAGACGAATTTTTCCAGTCTTTTTCACGTATGAATCCAAATTCAGGACTTTTCAGCTGGAAAGCCAACGAGAAGGAGAAAAAAGTCCCAGGTCACCTGCTGAAGCTTGTAGATCACGAATCGGGAATTTATTTCTGAAGAATTCGCTCGTGTAAATGGCGGAAAATATGAATTACTCCGAATTTCGAAGAGTTTTTTTGCGCTAAATAATTACTGAGTGTAATTCCCATTTGCTCACATTTTAAAATGTTGGAGGATTATGTCGGAACAAGCACGAGAACTTTTTGCTATTGCCTAATGTGTCCCCTGATGCCCGGTGCCGCGTATTTCATTTCTTCAGCATAGATGTCGCCTGCATTCAAAAATATTCTATTCAAGAAAGTCTGTATTCAATTTAGGTTAGGTAATTTTTAAATTTTCAGGCTCAGTCAAATTTTGTTAAACTTTGTTTGAAGTTGAAGCGTCATCTGTCTGAAGTGTGAAAAGTCGGAAACCTGAGGTAAAAAATAAAATAAAATAAGGAAAGCCTCTGGTTTTCAAAATACGGTTCTTGTTTCACGACACATCTTGGCAATTCGGTTGTTTCATTTATTGAAATTATGCTGACGAGTTTAAAAAAAAAAATTCTCGGGCCTTCTATGATCGAAGGTGTGAGAATGATGCAGTCACTCCAAGGGGAATGCTTCGATCGGTTGAAAGTTAAATTGCCCGCTTCGTTGACACAACCAATAATGGACAACAACCAGAATGACAACATGAACAAGGGTGATGAAGCACCACGAAGCCCCTATGCTTCTCAAGGAAAGCCCAAGGCAAGTTAATTGCTGCTAAATTTTTGCGCGGGGTTAACTTGGCTTATTGCACGACTATACTTTTTTTTTGCACGACGTCTCGGGATATTCTATTCCACACAAAAAATTACCCTTTTTGCGGTCTTTATTTTCGATAAAGTCGCACTGCCTGAAAATTTATTCTTTTTTTTTCGCGACGAAAATATATTCATTTTGCATGCCCTCTTTGATTTCGTGTGATGAAAATCCCTTCGACTTGCATTTCTTTCGTATTAAAGTTAACACGCAATGCAAGTATTAGATTTAATTTTGGCGGTATTGAGCCGCAAATCATTTCGACTGCAGAAAAATCTCATCCGTGCATTCGTTAGAAAATCATAATGCTTTCTTTTTATCTACCAGATATTATATTTAATCACTATTACAACCATAATTTTTGCAATACATTTTTGCGGGACAAAAAAAATAATAAATTGACATCAGATCTTTTTTTTTTTACTGCAAAAGAAAGTCGCGAGGCGATTTGAACAAATATCTGTTTCTGCTTATACCGCATAATAATTGTATTTCTGTTGCTCAAAGAATGTAGAAACAGTTGCTAATAATCGATTTATAATTATGAAATTATTTTTTAGGCGAAGATGAACTCAGTACGTGATGCAATTCGAATCTCAGATTTCGTTTCTTGCGCTAATTTTGCTCCTCGGTGAATTCGTTTTTCACGCACGGAAGAAAATAATTATATATATATATCTCAAATCTTTGATTCCATTGGATAAAATTCATTTCAGGCTTCTTTTGAAGCCAAAATTAGCACGGAATTGAATTCTAATCTCTTTCTCAAATTTATTCTCCCCATGGCTCTACGCTTACATGCACACGAACTTTGCTCGTCACGCTTCCATTTCAAATTAGCATCGAAAATAGGATTCGAATGCACGCAAACATTTCGCCCACTTTGGCATAATCTGTGGATTAAGAAAATAAAGCTCTCTTTTCTTTCTGCAAACTCGAATGCTGTTTGTCATGCGAAATTTTCGGGCTTGACAGGAGTTTACCTACGAGAACGTTCGTGACGCAGCTGTGGAAAATGTCAAGAACATGACCCAGCCTCTCGACTTCGAAATCGGAATCATTGACAACTTGATCAAGGTGGTCGACGAGGCCGGGAAATTCATGGAGTCTTTGCCTGCCGACCAGGTTGACAAATTTCTCTTTTTGAATTATAAACACCTTCTTTCTTTGAAAAAAATAGCGCGAGGAATTTTTAAAAATATCAAAAAGATCTTCAGATGTCGTCTGCAGCAGTAAGGCGGATGCTCGATGACTGAATATACAATATTTTTTTTTTCGGTGGTCTGTTGGCCATTATTTTCTTGAAAAAAGAAATAAAAAAAGCAATAAAAACAAAAATTTATTTGTTTTAAAGGAAGGGAAAGGCTTGATTCGGCAAATGAACCCCTGCTTTCAAGTTCAGCAGCACTCATTTAAGAAGCCATTTAAGCCTCAGAATGTCACCAGTTACATTTTTTCAGTTTCCCTGAACAAAGGACTTTAGTTCCAACCTATAAAATTCAAAACCTCCCTAAAAGTCAAAACCTCCAATTTTTTTTGCAGGTCCCTTAAAATTCGACTTAAAGAGGCTTGACTGTATATATATATCCGAGCATTTGTCTTTTTGTGAGGCGTTTCATTTCAAACAACGATTTTTCAACAACAGATAAATCTCTCTCTCTCTCTCTCGCAAAAAAATTTGACGTCGATTCGAAAACATTTTTCCATATTTTGTGCAGCACAAAGCCATGGTGTTGTGTTTGCATGAAGTTGCCATTCAAGAGCCGCTGAGAGCCGAGAAGAAAGGGCTGCAAATGGCCAGTCGATTGGCATGTGAGGTCAAATCCAAGATGCTGAATCAGCCCGCTGACAAATGCGTTTGAAAAAAAAAAGTTTGCAAGAAAAATCGGTGTCATTAATCATCGCTGCAAAACCTGTGCGTTTTTAATTCGGATTCAAGTAAAGAATCTGAATTTTATTCCGGGCTCCGAAGTCTATATACATCTGTCCCATTTTAGTCACGTACTGTAATTTGGTTCTGTGTATCAGTGCAAATAAATACTAGTGAGATCTGTGATTTGCGTACGATGTTCTTCCTTATTGTGCACGTGATGAATTCTGTCAATTTAGTTCATCCTTGTTTGTTTTTTTTTTTTCGAGGAAAGATTATACCTCCTGAACAGCGTTTCTTTTCAAAAATCGCACTGCCCCACGAACGAACAATTTGCAACCAAATTCACTTGGGACTTCGCCAAAAGCTCAGCATACGTTCGTCAGTGTTTTGTTTTTTTAGTCATAATTATAAGCAATCGTCAAAAGGGAAAGAACGAATTGATCTCATGAAAAGATCGAGTCGGTCGAGGGTATACAGTATTTAATTTACGCGTACAGCATTAAGTGCTCTTGATGTTTGAAGTCTCTAATTACTAATTGCAGCATTAATTACACTTGGTGTTTGAAGTCTCTAATTACTAATTACAGCATTAATTACACTTGCTATTTGAAGTCTCTAATTACAAATTACAGTATTAATTACACTTGATATTTGAAGTCTCTAATTACTAATTAGAGCATTGAATACTTTTTATTTTTCAAGTCTCTTTGAAATTTGGACGGCATTGTTGGTCGGAAATCCGTCTAACAAATCTCCTGAAAAACGTGTGTGTATTTTTCTTGCTGTGTAAGGCTTTTTGTCTGTCTTGTTTTCAAGTGGATTTACGAACTGGAGTTCTTGCTTGTACTATACTCCAGTAAATAATATGTATTGTGTCTTCGGTTCTTAATTTCGCTGGGGAAAAACAAAGAAAACGCGCGTACGTACGTCAGACGCAACTTGATTATTTCCGCTCGTCCCTGATGATTTTTCGCTGTCGCGTCCGTTTATTACTCTTCGACGCCTTCGCATGACGTGGTCTTGATTCCAAATTATCTTTCCAATCCCGCGGATTTTTACGTTCGGTGTTTGCCAAGAAGTACTCTTTACAAGTACTGTTCTAGTATTTTTCCAAAGCCGTCGTTTGGAAACGTGGTCGGGCATCTTTGCTCGTCGACGTCGAGATTGACAGATAACTTTTTTCTTGTTGTTGATGGAACAACTGACTCGATTACTGAGTCCCATTGTTGTTGGGGTGGGACAAGTACTGGGGATTTGATCTAGAAAGAATATTTCAGGGATTTAAAAAGCGAGGACTCCACATCACTCGTATCTTGATCTTTCGATTCCCTTTTTCCTGGTTCATCTCAGCTACAAAAAACCAGTCATTTTTAGTTTTTGAAAATCCAGAAAAAGTTAATGCATTTAGAATCAAGCTGGAGGCATGTTCCTTTCCACGGAAAATGTTCGATTTTTGAGAGTAAAAACAGAACAGCTGATAAAATTGACTAAGAAATTTCATTGCCATTTTTTTTCTGTATTTGACTTTAGCTAGATGTAGATCACGCTGAAGTGCATTCATGAAAATTTTAAATTACGGATTGAGATGTATTTGAGATGTGCTGGTTTTGGTACTTGAGTTATTTTTTCATGGTTTGATTGTTTTCATGGAAATGAGCTCGAAATTTGACAGCTGTAAAAGGAAGCGCCACGATGAGATCCATTTGTTGGGAATGAATTCTTGCAAAAAAAAAATTTTGAATATTGTCACGTTTATCACATGAATAATATTATCGAAAAATTGGCTTCATCTGAGTGAGTTGGATTTTTGTACAGTGATTGCCCTTTTGATATTTTCTCCATCATGTTTTAAATTCCAGCACTTTTCGTTGCTTCACATTTCAACTCGGCAATTTTTGTGTGTGATGTAATAGTTCAGTGAGTTATTTCATGCTCAAATGTATTCCTCAAAAATGTTTCAAATTGTTTTTGTTTTTCAAAATCAAAGATAGTGTCACTATGAAGCCCTCATTGTTTCCTTTGATGTCTTCCTTTTCCCATTCTCAGTAAATCACGTTTATAGGCCGCACTTTCTAATCGAAAACATCCACCTGAACTCGGATTTTGCTGATATTTTAAAATAATGGGTATCCGTTGGGGCCTCGAGATGCGGACGTAATGGGTGCTTTGAACTTGTCCCTATGTCAGAACATCCACACGTCGGATACTTCAAATTTCAATTGGAATGTATTTAATTGGTTCTCATGTTGATCAAAAATTA